CTAGGTCTCCTTACTGGGCTTATCCCTGAGGGCCACTGTTCTATCTCCTCTTGCAGGGAAAGGATCTCTTCTCTCCAGAGCTAAGTTTTGGGGAAAAGGCAGCATTAACGCATTCCAATTGTGTTTAACTCCCATTATTTTTGTAGAGTGCCTCATGAAACCTCAGTTCCTCTAAAAGTGTTTTCTTCAACTAAATTCCCCTCCATTTTCTTCAGACAATAAACAAATTTTGTTTACAAAGTACTTCAACATGACTTGAAATTTCATTTATGGAAAATGGGCCTCAGCCTTCCAAGGCACTTGAAACCATGCTGAAACATGGCAATTTCAAGCACTTACCTGTCTCCTTCCTGCAAGTCTCCAAATCAAAGGTTCCCATGACAACAAAGCCCACTCTCGGTCCAGCAGGATGAATTGTTTGTACCTGGTGTCACCATTAGCCAGGACCCAGCAAAATCACACAAATGAGATCCCCAGACAGCAGGGCTGCAGAGAGCCCCAACAAGCAGCACAACAATTACACTCTAAATTTACCAAAGGAAGGGAAATGTCATCCAACTCCCCTTTAAAGCAACAGAGCAAAAGGACGACCTCCCTGGTTACACCTGCAGGGCTACAGGGGCAGGCCAACTCTGCCCTATCACAAGCTGGTCTTGATTTCCACCCTGGGAGGTGGCATAGTTGCCATCACATCCCAGCAGACAGCCACTGATGGTCCCAGTAGGGATGCTGACTCCCCAAATGGTCCCAGGAAGCTGGTTTACATTAAACTGTCTACATGGAAACCCAAAGAGAAAGAGGTGTTGCTGTTTTGGGTGAAATGCAGCTTCTCACCACCTTGAGCTCCCCATGCCCTCTACATGATGCACTCAGAGCTCCTTTTCCTCAGCACCTGAAGCATCTTTACCCCACATAAAGGAGCTCTCTGCATCTCAGCTCCTTATCCAGACAACCACCACACCAATATAAACTTCCCTAACCAGTTGCTTTGGGATACTTCTCTTTATAATCATGTGCAGTGGATCCAATCTTCTCCTCCCAGTGAGGATGTGAATGAGGTCCTCTGATCCTAGTCAACTGAGGGTTCACACTTGAAAATGAGTGTATTCAGGCAGCAGCTGCTCTCCAGAGGGATGAGGGGGAGCCACTCAGCAATGAATTGCTACAGATGGTCAGTCAAGTGTAATAAATCCTCCTTATCAGCCCTGTCTTGTTACCCCTCATAACTTAAGCTGGGTGTAATAAGGCAGTATGAAGGTAAAGGCTAGCTTTACAGCCAAAGTGGGGATTACAGCCTGGCACAGATATTTAAAGATTCACAATAGCAGAAAGCAATTGTAAGAGGAGCCTAAACAGTTTCCCTTGAATGCCAAGAGGTGGGCTCATGAGTTATGGTCACTTCCTAGGCTAATGTATATCAGAGTTGGGGTCAGACCAGAGATTTGCTGCTCCTGGGTTTCTTGAGCAAGAGTAACACCTGCATGTGCTGAAAAAAACATGTTTCTGTCTACATTATACACATGTTTATATTTTTAACCCAGATCGCTGCATGCTTTTCTTCCTGTCTCTGGATAAACTCAGCAATACCATTTTGTCTCCTGTTCTCTTTAATTCTTCACAAAAGCCCAAGAAGCATCTTTCCCCTTACAAGCATCTTGCCACCCTGTGCAGGAGCCTTTGCTTTCTGATTGCCTCATTAACAAAGCTGGCCCAAAACAGTCCTTCCCAGACCTGAAGCTGATGGCACCATGAAGGGGAGTTTGCAGGTGTGAAAACTTGGCTTCTTTTCCCCAGCTGTAATTAAAAAATTAAAATCTGGGTAATTAAAAATACTGCTTTTTCCTACCAGCCTTGCCTCACTTATATCCTGCATCCATCGTAGGGTGACCTAAATCCTACCTGTGGTACCCATCCCCTGGAGCAGGAGCCACAGCAATGCACTTGCTCTGCTGCTAACACTGCAGGGCTGTCCAAGAATGAGACCCAAGGAGCCTTGCGGTTCCAACACTGGAGATGTCTCCCCTGTTCTGGAGTCAGAGCAGGGCTGGAGCAGGCTCCTCCTGCTTCCCCTGACCAGGGGTGCAGGGAGGCATTCCCTGATGCTGTGGGGTGAAGGAGCTTTGATGTGGTTGCCACTCGCTGCTCCAGGGTGTCATTGCCTGGTCCCCATTGCTTGCGCCCTCCTTAGGGGTGGAAGAGGACAGCTTCATCCCCATGAAGAACACTGAGGGTGTGCAGAAGGTGTTGAGCACATCCATGCTGGCAAAGCAGCCCCCCTTGCTGCTCTAGCTGTTGTTATCACATCACCCATTGTGGAAAGGAAAGGTGGAGGGGGCAGGAGGAAAGTCACAGCCACTTTCTCTGACCTCTGATTGCAGTGAATGCATGCTTGTGGCAGCGAAGCCTGGGATCCCCTGCAAGGGCCCTGCAGCCTGCCAACGTGTGAAAGTGTAAGGGAGAATGAATCCCAGCAAGCCACAAATGTGCCAAGCGAGGGTGTTCTCCATGGAGTAGGGCAACAGCAAAGTCTCAAACCATGCTCCTACTGACAAGCTGCTGATGGATGAGTTCAATCAGGAGGAGCTGCATTTTGCAGAAGAAAGCACTGTTTGCTTACAAAGCATCCTGCATGGATGGTCCTGGGAAGAGCCCTGCCAATGGGAGCACTGGACCTACTCTTCTTAGAGGGTGAAGGAACCACATAAGAGAGGTCCTCCCTCAGAGGGAACCATGCCCTGATGCTGGGGGTTTCTGCTCCTAGCACCCAAATGATGAAGGCTACCTTAGGGCTGGTTTTGGGGCACCTCATGAGGAGGCGGTTTTGCATAAGAGGTTTCTGGAACAACCACTCTGAAGGCAGATGACCACTGTGCCCCAGTGGATCCTTCCCTTCATGGGGCTGTGGGGCTGAGCTGCCCTCACATTACAGCCTGGCATAGGGGACACATTTACCTGTTCTCCATCTTCTGGCACCTCGGGAGCCACACATCAGCAGTGCCCCCTTGCCACTCCAACTCCATCCCCTGCCTGCTCCGACCACTGCTGTAGAACAAGCACCTAATAATAAAACCCGGCTATTGCGTTCCTAAGACACCTGTCAGCCTGAGCACTAAGTGCTGGAGTAATAAATACTTGCTCAGCTCTGCCTCTTCTCTGCCAATTCTCCTGGCTCTGCCTGTTTTCATTAGTATTTCTTTTTCTGTGGACACTGCAATTACACTCTGTTCCTCTTCAGGGCCCTTGTTCCAGGTTCAAATAGAGAAGTGATAATGCAGGGAAGCTTTTCACATCGCTGTTTATTTTTGTCTTCTGAGTCAGGAAGATCTTTTCAGGCTGGGACCAACCCTGTGCAGTTTTGATTGAGGAAGGACTCGAGTGGCGAAAGGGGTGAAAACTTCAGGTTCCAGCTTTTATAGTTTAAACAAGTGGTGGGCTCCTTCCTTGCCTGCTCTTGCTGGGGTCACAAGCTATGCTTCTTCCTTGGGAAAGCATAAGTCTGCAGCCTACACTGCTAAGACCCATGGTAACTCTCCATCTGCCACAGCAGCTGTGAGCCCCGGCACTCCCAAGCCTCTTCTGCCATCCGAATCTCCGAGCAAGGAGGATTCAGCTGAATGCAGCAAATTCAAATGAGTAACTTTTTTTTCAAGGTTGCAATATGTTTGGAGATATTGTCCCGACAGCAAATCCCTGGTGCAGCATCCAGATGGTGCTCAGGGAATCCGGGAAAAGGGGGGAGGGCGTTTCGTTCCTTCTTCAGGCATGGAAAATAACCAGTGATGTCACTGGAGTTATTTGCTTCTCTTGCTATTTCCCATGGTAATTGGGGTGTGAAAGTCCACACTGAATATGGGGGATTTGGCTAAATTATCAATATCTTTAAGTAAAAAATAGTCAAAAAACCGCAGGAAAAAGTCCCAGGGGAGCATAGGCTGTTTGAAACTTAGTGCAATGGGAAAAACTTCAGCATTTGTTGCAGGTGATTTTTCTTCTACTTTTGCATTTGAAGAGGTTTACTTCATTTCAGATCTTTCTACCCACTGAGAAAAAACTTTCTATTAGTTGCTAAATATAACTTTTTGTGCATCCAAGGAAGTGTCCAAATGAAGCTCCTACACCTTGCACTTCCTTGCAGCAGAACACAGAGTCACCCGGACATGTCACGCGTGTCCATCACACTGTGATGTGACATGGCCAGCTACGTGCTATTTGATCTCCAAAACTGGGATAGCCCCAACCAAAACTGCCTTCAGCAAAGGTCTCTGGACCATGGTACATCCCAAGTCATGACTGGAACCTGTTTGGGTGGACCAAAGTGACAGTGGAGTTCATTGTAACAGATGAACAGCTCAGCAGGGTGGGTTGAACTGCCCACAACCTTACCTTGGCACACATTCAATTCACCACGTCCGAAGACATTTGAGCTAAGGGCCTCCATGTCCTTCTCACCACCAGGGTCTCTTTAAGGCACGATTCAACTGGAGAAGCGTATGTGGTGGCTTAGATAAAGCAGCTTCTTGGCCAAGGCCTCTTCTGATTGCCCCATAGAGCAGCAGAAAGCTTGATTCATGTTGTACGTAAAGAATTGCCAAAGACCTCTACAGGAAAAGCAAAGCCTAACCATGGGCCACACACTGCAGAGAAAAAACACACCTCAGTGTCTCCTTCTTACTCACCCATCCCAACACCACCATCCCATCTTTGAATTGGTTCCCAAACTCCCTATCTACCCACCTGCCTTGAACATATGTAGTGTCCTCCACTCCTCTGCCACTGGAAGGGAAAACATTTTAAACGTGACACAATGAGAGCTCAAGCTCTTCTATTTCCCCCTGGAATATCTATTTCTTCATGGGTAGCTTGTCTGCTCATCACTGGGACAATCCCCCGAGCTGTGCAGGTAGCCTGAAGCCCCGAGGACCGGCTCCCCAGGCTCCCCATCCCTTTGTATGTCAACATAATTCAGCTTTGACTGGTTTGGGACAAAACAGTGACACAGATTCTCTTTTTTAATATGAATTTTAATTTGTTTTGATCGGAGTTCGATAGAGTGGGCAGAGTGGAAAAGCGGAGTGATTTCATTCAGTGAAGAGGTCTTGTCCTGCCTTGTGTGTTAGTTAGTAGGTGGTCAGGAGAGTCCTCCTCCATTTGCTGATCTTATTCATGTAGTTCTTGTTTCTGATGGTTTCTGATCTCTCTTCAGAACTTCACTGTGATTTTTGGAGACACTTTTCTTTTGCTTTAACTTATGAAAAAGCTCAAAGCTGAAAAAAACTGCAGGACCCAAAATCCTGCCAATTAGAATGGGCACGTTTTCTTTTTTTTTTTTCCCTTTTCTGGCAAAGGTTGAAAAATACGGTTCAAAAATACAAACAGGCATTGAACATTGCACCAAAAAGCATTTGAAACACAAATCTCAGAAAGAGAAATTGAGAGAGAGAGAGAGAGAGAAGAAAGGTCACAGTTTCCATGAGAAATTCCTTAAGAAAGTGGCTACCAGCTAGTCACTAGAGAAAATAAAACTGACAAAAATAATAATTAAAAAAAACCCCACATTTTCTCTAGTTGTTAATTATTTACAGCTGTAATAACAGGATTGTCATGCATTAAAATGCTGCCAGCTAGATTCTTTCCCATAGTGGAGTAAAGAAAGTCTCACAAGACGGAAAACAAAGCAGAAGACATACTGGGGCACAGGGTGAACCTGAGGCAGTGAAAATGGGCATGTTCTCTGGTGATCTGTTGTAGTGTGCTCTTTCCCATGATGGGCTGCCCTAGCATGATGCTAACGTAACTTCTCCTAGGCATTAGGGCACTAGGGCTGCAGCTAATGAAGCAGCAGGTACCATCACCTTCAGATAGGACATTTGCCTGTGGCCATCCCCAGGTCAGTCAACAGTGGAAATCAAGTTGATGAAGAATACTTGTGGCCACCTGACTAGATTTAGTCAGGTCAGAAATTCCCTTATGACAACTGAGAGGAGCCCTTCAACTCCAACCACAGGCTGGCAAAGGCAATGTGACAAAGACCCAGGTTTCCCAACTCTCAATGTATGATTGCTGTTATTTTTGCTGGGTTCCCAGGAGAAATCCATAGATTTGTCAGGGGAAGCAGAGAGCTGCTTGCAGTATAACAGGAGCCAATGGACTTAAGAAGTTGACAGGAATTTCAAGCTGCAGTGAAGAGAAAAGCCAAGAGCCTTCAAAGACTGTGGGAGCATTCTGGCTTATATAGCTTACATAGCAAACCTGGGAACAGGCTTCCCTCTCTAGGCAGATGGAAGCATTAAAGCAGAAGAGATGTGCACTGGTGTGGACCAGGACAGTGAGGATGAGCAAAGAGTCACTAGAACATCATATTTTGTCCTAGAGCTTCAAGAGCAAAAACCAGCATAAACCCACTTGTGGTGAAGGATGGCAGGTCAAATGTTAGGACTAATCCAAGCCTAAGGCTCTCTGCTGTTTGAAGCAGCACAGATCCTCATGGTGGGAAGCAGGCATAGATGCAGAAAGAACCAGCTTTGTTTGCTTATGGGTGCTAATATCCTTCATCCTTGTGGCTGGGACATTACAATGCAGTGGTGCCACTGACCGCAGCCTTTCTCCAGCAGCAGAGGAATATAGGAGCTACAAATGCTGCTGCAGGATCACTGCCCAAACGTTTCTTCTAAGACAGGGGGAGACAAAAGGCTGACACTGAGGGCACCTGATGCTGGGTACCACTGCAAGGGGCTGCACATTGACCACTTGCCTTGGGCTGCCCAGCATCTGTCTTTGGTCCTGCTTGTGCTGGGGTCCAGGATACAGCAGCAGCAAAGGCTTATGTTTTGCTGACCCCTCCCACAATTAGCACATAATCATCCCACCTGGGATAAAAAATGGCACATATCATCACATCCCACCTGGATGAGCAGCAAGCAGTGGCCAAGTGCCAGCGCTTCCCTTTGCAGAAGAGCCCAAGCTGAAGCACAGCCACTACCTGCAGTGCTCCTCTGGTCAGGCACATCTGGAACGGATCCCACCAGGCTTTGTGCTCCCTCCCGAAGCAGGTTCAGGGTGAAAACCTCACATCCCTTTGCAAAGCTCACCTATATGTTCCCTGGTTGTGCTATGGAGTGAGGACTAATTGCTTACAGCATTCAGCTTTTAAAGAGCCATGCTGCCTTTAACACATCCTAGAGTATGGAACAGGACAAAAGCTGCCTGGGGAAGTTGTGGTATCTGGGGTTAACTTCTCCTGATCTGTGCTGGGCAGTGCTGCCAGCAGTGACCTTGGTCCAGGCAATCCTGCATTGAGACCCCAGGGCAGAGCAAGGCTCTCCTCCCTTTCTTCCTTTGTTCCCTGTGCCTCTCAAAGCCATCTGAGGACCAGCAGAGAGGGATGCACATCCTTCCAGAAGATTTAGCAAAGACAGTGAGAAGGAAGTAAAACAACTGAAGGTGGCCATTTTCTCCTTCAAAGAGAAAGAGGTTTGACTTTTAGATACGAAGAGGTTGTGAGCATAAATATACACACACGCGCATATATATATATGTAAAAACCTTTGGCTGACTGAACAATAACAAGGTCAAACAGTAAATATTTATACCTGGAAGCCATCAATCTCATCTGTGCTGTGGCCTCTTGCCAAAAATGCCTTCAGGAGCAGTTTAGCTTGATATGGAGAGAGGATTGGTGAATTGTTTGAGGTTTTTTTTCCCTGCTTTGACATTAATAGAGCATTTAGATTCTCATGAACGTGCCTCTCACCCTGGCTGAGCCCTCCCCAGCCCCAGCAGCCACCAGGGAGTCAGGGAAATGGTATTTCTTTCCAGTCTGCAATATCCACATGGATATTTCATCGTGTAGGTTAAAGTGTGGCCCCAGAAGCATACTGTTTGTGGGAGAGGGCTTGGGGTAAGGCCTGGCCTGATGCTGCATGGTGTAACAACCCAGTCCCACAGACCCACACTGGCTCTCCACCACCCAAGCATGTGGTAGGAGGGGTACTAGCATGTCCCTCATGTGAGCCCATTGAGACTGCCTGGTCCTCTCCTGTTCATGGCATGCCATGGAAAGCTGGGAGACCACAGTAGCTGTTCTCATAGCCGCTTGCATCTGACCATGATCCTTGCTTTAACAGCAGTGTGTGTTTAACTGCTCTATTCCTTCAGCAGCTGCTAAGAGGTGCTTCTGCAGCACCCTCTGGGAGAGGCAACAGCTCCAGGTTTCTGAAGGTCTCCACCAGGTTGTAGAGGAGCAAAGGGTCTTCCCATGCAAAGTGATCTGGAGCAAGAGAAATCCCTTCCTGCCATGTGATGCAACCCTATAATCCTCCCCAGGGCACGGCTGAAAGGAATCCAAGATATGGACAGAAGAACTTGAGGCAGTGGGTGAGGAAAGTATGCACCCTGTGTCCACAGGATAGATTTGCAGAAACAGGCTGGTTGTGACCTTGTTTGCGTGCACGGCTTATGTCTGGGAACAGCAAGCATGGGGTCTGCTTGCACAGGGGATGTCCTACAGCAAATGAGCTAGGTAGAACCCTGCCAGTGCCCTCGAGCTCGCAGAGATCAAGGTGCAGGTGAGCTGTGCTGGCCACAGCACCTGCCTGTAAAACCTAGGGAATACAAAGCCGGGTTTGCTTATGTTGAGTTTAGTGCACAGAGGAGAACCGGGAAGCTCTGTCTTGAGTGTGTCAGTCCTGCTGGATGATGTTCAAGTTCTCGAGGTGTTATATAGGGGTAACTCCATCAGCCCTTTGGAATGGGTGGCACCAAGGGACCACATGTCTCCTCTCCCTTGCATGTAACCCCACAGAAATGTCACAACACTGACATGGCACTTGCAGTTACCATGCTCTGCCTCTACTGCCGAACCAGCCCTCACCTCCCCAGGGCTTTGCCCATTTGTGTTGTCAGAGGAGACAATGGGCAAAGTTTAAGCGCCAAAATGTCCCTCTGATATTTTCAGGAGGAATGCCACTTCAGGCTTGGGCTGCAGTGTCTGTCCCAGGTGGTGTAAGCTACAGAACAGGAGCACAGACCAAACAGGTCACTTTTATCACTCTCAAAGACTTATAATTCCTACATAGGAGACTCTCATCAAGTCATGGAGGCTTCGGACCTTGCCAGAAGACAAAGAATATTGGAGTACTAAGGTTCACAGTGAAGTGAAGTGCCCATGCTGTGCACAAGTATGGATTAGACTATCAATGGCCACGTACAGATCTATTCCTATACCTGGCTAATTATAAAAACGAAGCCCTTAGACACTATCACAGCAAGCAGAGAACTCCAGTGACTGGTACTAGGTTAGCTCTGGTGTGCTCTTAGAGGAAGCTTCCTCCATCAGCAGCCTCGTGTTAGCTGGGAAGGAAATGTCCCAATTTGAGCCGCTGACAGATTCATAAAAAAAAGAACATTATCTTCTCTGTGATGTCTGCTGGCAGGAGATGCTAAACCACTTATTTATAACCATCTTCTCAAAATGCTTCCCTGCTTGGGAGCCAAACTACAAATCCTGTTTGGTTTGTTGTCTTTAACCAAAGGATGCTGGTATTTCTGCTTCCAGCTGGCAAAAAGATCCAGAGTCAGTGCCAGGCTTTGGTGGGAATAGACTTGGCTTTCAAGGCGTGTTAATGCAGATCCAGGAAGGCAGCCTTTTATCAGGCAGAGAGCAAAGTTTTAGAGTCAGGAAGAGCAAAGATGAGCCAGCAGAAGGGTGTCAGCAGCAAGCCAGATTGATGGGATGTGTCCTGGGGAGGGACAACAGCCTTGGTGTCGCAGGGAGGGAAAGACTGGGGGAAGATACAGGCAGGAGATACACCATGAGAGATCGGATCACCCACAAGAGGGAGGAAGCTCAGATGCTGTCCTGATGTTGTGCCCAGCACCACAGAGAGATCCAGCCCCAGCACCTTGAGCATCACCCTGCGGCACAAAGGCAGCGGCTGCTGAGGAGCAGTGGTAAGACCTGACTTCACGAAGAGCTCTGCAAAGCTGGCACCAAGAGACCAGGAACATGTAGCGGGTGATGCATGGTAGGATGTGGCCTTTGGGGTGAAGGGGACTTTGGGGAATGCCCAGGCTAGCAGGAGACCACCTGTGCGTCAGGGCCAACTTAAGTCAGCCAAGTCACTGATCCTGTATTTGAACTTGCCTTTGATGTAATTCTGTTTGTAAACACAATTACTCTTTGTTACCATTTTATTGTGTTTGGTTTGCCTTTTAAGTGTCTCTATTCCATTCACTTAGGCCTGAGTGTTATAGAGACATGAATGTTTTATGAGATATGCTTCATCCACCTTATTTAAGAAAATGACACCCGAGTAGTTTCCAAAACAGGCTCATGGCCGGTTGGTGTGGCACTTCCCAATGGAAAGCTCAAGGAGCAGAAGGGCAACACAAGAGCTAAAGGGGATGGTGGTGGTGTGGAGGGAGCACAGGGGTCTCGGTGGTGAGGGGTCTGGGGACACAGTGGGCCCTGCTGGGGAGGCCAGGCTGTCAGAACACAGTGGCTGCAGCAGCTGCAGGCCAGAGCCAGGGGGTGTGAAAGCATCAGGGATGTCCCCCTTGCCCAGCAGAAGGGCTGGGGATGGTGAACTCTCCCTGTGCTCCTCCAACCTGATGCTGGGTGCAAAGGGGAGAGCTCCCAAGCTTTCCTCTCCTTGCCACCCAGCAGGGAGCCCTTGGGGATGAAAGGCACTATCGGAATGTTTTGGGGTGCTGATGTTATGGGGGAGGACGGGGAGAGAACCAGTTTCTTTAGCATCAGCTTGAGGGGCATGCCTAATGCTGCCTGCTGGTGTGGATGTGCTTATGGACAGAACACACTGGGGGCTGAGACAAATGTCTTCAAGCTCTGCTCCTATTGCAGCTGTAGGCAGGGGGAGTGACTGCACTGCTGTTGAGCCAGCAAGTTTGGTAAGGGACAGGCAGGACATGCACCAATGCCACCCATATTGCAGGATAAAGTGCCCTGGCCTTCCCCACTCTGTCCTGTTGTCCCCATGGATATTCCAGGTGGGGCAAATCCTATGCCTTGTGCTCAACCCTGCTCCTGCAT